ATGTATATGAAATATATTTCTTTTGGAACGTTGATAGTAAATTAAATAAAAATAAGCAACACTGATAACGAACATACATAGTTTCGTCTTTCGGGCTTTCCCTTTAAATAAATCGCACATTCAATTCTACATAAGTAATTCCACTATGCAAGCAATGATCATTTATGCACCTTCCGTGAGTATCTACATTCAATACATTAACAACACCCAAATTTATATTAAGAAATAGTAACATAGTACGTTAACTATATAAATGTTCTTTATTCAAATGCGGAACGTTAACAAATGTAAACTAATTTTTACATTAGGCCACGCAGTATTTGGTGCAAGAGGGACAATATAATGTCTTTTTAATTTGATAACTATTTTGTCATTTCATATGAGCAACATAGTAGAACATTTTCAACCAAAACTCTGAATGCAACACCAAAATTGTGCTAATTATCGTGTATAAACTCATTAAGTGGTGAAAATAATCAGCGATTCTATGTAGGTAATAGGTATTCAACGAAATTACTCAATGATTTATGACACTCGAAATTCATTTCGAATAATCAACCTACATCAAATAATAAAGTATTTCCCTTAATTCAACGCCCGCGAATTAACACAATTGAATACATAATTTTTAGAGAACTTATATTGTTCCAATTAAAACGTCTGAATTTAAAAGCACTCTTTTCGTTTTCTATTTTTTCAAATATTGACATATCATCTATTTGATATTTTCATGTGCTCCAACAATTGCATTCCAAAATAGATTAATCGAACTAATATATGTTTCAAACAAGGTGGGTATTTCCAAGATTCGTCAGAACACGTATTAAAAACGTTCTTAAGAGTCGTTTTCCTTTTCAAACTTGGTATTTGCTTATCCTTATCTTTTTCCGGATCACACATTTAACCATGGGCTATTTTAGAACACACTCACCAGCAATGAGAACATTCGTTTCCAAGTCGTATTCCAAATCAATGAACAGAACAGTCTCATTACTAGGAACCAGATTTCAATGAATATTTTTTCCTCTGGTCAGAAAGTATGGCCATTCTGTATGTGAATGCAACCCACAATTTACAATTATTTAAATATGATTTTATTATGCATATCTCGCATATGTTACCTGATTTCTTAATAAGCATTATATTTTTGAAAATTGCAACTCATTTTTTTGCTTCAATTGTTTATCGTTACTCATATATCTACTACATTTTAATGAGATTAATATTTAATGCAATAATGTGTTTCAAAATATGTGGTTCATCGTAGCTAATTATCATTGCTATCAATTTACTGAGTTTGAATGAGGTATGTTTTACTAAAAAATCGCGATCGTTTTTAGTACTTTACATTGCCGAGTCCATTTCGAAAAATCGATACCACTCGTGAACATACGTGAATAGATCTTTTACAACTGACAGGGGAGGGAGATTGCTTGCTCTACAAATGCGAGTGATAAATAATTCAAAAATGAAAGGAACTTCATTTCTCAGTGCATAATGTAGCAGCTAAGGCGGTTTTGGAGTTGTGTTCAAAAATGGTTCTAAAGCTAATTGTTAGCCTATTTAGCGGTACACATTCCCTTATGGAAACTATTTTTTCTAACTACACTTTGTCATGAGTCTGAAAGGTGCATTAAGAAAGAAGTACCGGATGAATGTACTTTGCGTTATGATCGGAGTATCATACATTTCATAGGATTTATTTTCAAAGTTCTTACAGTGCAAATGTAAACATATCTCTAGATTTATTAGTGCATGTAAATGTGATCTTTACTCATTACAGGAAGTCCTCAATGTTTCCTGCATAGATATAATAATCCAATGTCGTCAATGTGAATATGTTAAACTGAATTTAGATTACTGTTCCCCACATGCAGCAACAGGAATTAAGTAACTATACTGGTAAATTCATCTAGAATTCGCATGATGCAAGAAGAAATATAACTTAATTTCTGAAAATCGCTTCATTTTCTTATTTTAGAAATAATTAATACAAATCCTCAAATTTAATTAGAGACAGGATATTTCTGTGCATTGACATCTCAAACATGTAACGTATAAACACAGTAAATCTCATTAATATAAATTAAAACCTCAGCATTTGTATTTTTATTCTTCCAATCCACTCTCTTCGCCGTTACTCATTCCCGGCCGGTAATATGAAATCGCACCCTAGAGCAAACAAAGCGTGCCTTCCACTCTTTTGTCAGAACGAAAATATTTTATAATTAAATAAACAGACAGGGGATGGGGGAGTGAGAATAAGAAGAAATGCGAAATCTACTTTGGAATCAGCTGCAACCTAGCCAGTTCATTTAAGAGGCAAATTAGGTCTCGCGGAACTTCTGTCAACATGGGCACGAAAATTAATTAAATAATAATTAGGCAACTTCTTGTAATCCAATCTCTGCGCCGCCAAGCGCACCGGCCGCTTCTTCATCGCTCGCGGGCACGCGTTTCTTTTTTCTCTTTTTTTTCTCCCTACGCGCTTCGGGGCGAGCGCGCCGTGGCGTCCCAGCGTCCTGGCGCCGGGGCGTCGGGCGACTACGACGCCGCGACGCCGCCTCCGGCGGACGAGGCGCTCCTGGAAATTGTCTCGGCGCGCTGTAATTCCCCGGGGCGCCGCCAGACGGCGGCGGCGGCGGAGGTGTAACTGCGGGGGAGGGGGAGGGGAATCCCCGCCAGCCGTCGCGCCGCCGCGACTACGGTGTCACGCGGTGGTTACTTGGAGATGGGGCAGCCATGAGGGTGGTGGCAGCTGGGGCCTGGAGATTTTCACATATGGCATTCGGGTCTCGAATTCCTGACAAAGAATTTGCGTCCTCTGGGGAAGAGAAGATCACCGTGTCGATTGCTTTCTGAAACTGTTACTCCTGATTTTACAAGTTATAAGAAAGTCTAAAAAAAATATTTTAGCGCATATATATTTCTGTTAATCTTTGCGTTTTAGAATATCTTCTATTCCAGCGGCAAGCCGCTATGATCAGTAGTTTTCCGTGGTTTCTCCGATCAATACCAGCCGAATGCACGTGCAGTACCCTAACAAACGGGCCACGTACCATGCACGATCTTTCCTTCACCTTCCTTGTTTAATCCTCACCCCTTACTTACGTGCACTTACATGAACTACCTATCACACATGCTGGGACGGTGGCTCGCTGGTGGGAGATACCTGGTCGGAGAAAGCCGATCCCAACCCGTTAGCCGACGCGTCGCGGCGGGTAGGTCGGCGCCGATTTCACCATCAAGCGGGGGAAAATCATCGCCACCTCCCGAGGTAAAAAACATTCACTACACCTGTGGGACTAACGACCTTAGCAGTTCACGAACTCTGAATCACCAATCAATTAATTCTTCATTGAAAAAGGCATTTACACAGGAACACGCGAAAGAGAAACGAGTAAAAATATTCCACTAATAATTTTTGATTCCAAAACACACGAATTTACGATTCGTTCTTAACAAGACATTCCAGGGGATCTGGTACCTGCCAATGTAGGAGAATTTACTTTCTTAAAAAGTAAATAGTAAAATGTTGGCCCTTCATGACACCTGGGATTTACTGTGAAGTAACAACTTTTGGAACTGATACTACAAGTGGAGCTTCTATGTAGCTTATGTGCTATTATGTACTTCAGCTATACTCGCAGTTGTATACTCTAAACAATGCGTTACATTCACAATTTCTCACAGTAATTCATCAAATATATTTTCTTAGTTGTCACATAGTACGTCAATACTTCAAATTTAGAGTTAAATTCAAAACAATTTTTATAAGAATTCTAAAAATACACATGTAGGCACTGAATAACAGGTGTTAAATACTAAAAGTAGAGTAGCTAGGGCTTTTCTAAATTATTAGGAAGAGTGTTACTGATAATTATCGAAAGTGCTTAAATAAAGAATTACAGAAAAAGTGTATCACCAAATTAAGTATTAATTTAATTAATCGTTATTTGTTTGATGAACTTGATTTGAAATTTCGTAAACATGATAAAACGTTAAAAATGTAGACTGAACGACTTTAAAACGTAAATACGTAGACTGGATAGCTCCAATTGAAACAAATTATTCTCGTCGTTGGCTTAACTGCGAGGGCCATTCAGTAGATACGTCCACACAAATACGCTGTAAATAGAAAAATCAACGACCCGTTCGAAAAGGTTCGTTGACCACACGTTCGGATTGTAGCCTATCGTTGTTTCTATATTCGTCTCTCTTGCTTTACACACCTTTTCATCTCTTCTCCCTTTCTCTTCCTCATCTTTCTCCAATATCTCCCCTTTTCACTCTTGCCTCTTCCTTCTCTCTTTCCATTACCTATTTCGTATATTCTCATTTCTTTTAAATATTTTGTATATGTATCCTATTTTTCCCTGAATGCACCTACTATATTTTAGACAATATACGTCATCTGCCTGTATGTATTACCAACCCCCTTTTTACGTCAAGTAAACCATAACATTCAGCACACACACTCTCTCTCACACACTCTCACTCACTCACTCTCTCTCACACTCTCCCTCTCACTCTCCCTCTCACTCTCACTCTCACGCACTCTCCCTCTCACGCACTCTCCCTCTCACGCACTCTCCCTCTCACGCACTTTCCCTCTCACGCACTCTCCCTCTCACACACTCTCCCTCTCTCACGCTGTCCCTCTTACACTCTTCCTCTCACACTCTCCCTTTCACACTCTCCCTCTCCCTCTCTCATCCTCTCCCTCTCCCCCTCTCCCTCTCTCTCTCTGTCGCTCGTTCGCTCGCTCTCGCTACTCTCTCATACGCCCGCCATTAATCCATTATTCAGGTCCTCTTTACATCACCACTTTTATTCCCTCCGCCGCCGCAAACTCAGCCCGCGGCCACCGCTCCCTTCGCCCCGGTTCAACCCCCTTGACGGTGACGTGTGACATCGCGCGCGCTCCTAATTAAAACAGACTTCATAAAAATGTGACGCAATTAACATCGACGAGTGCGGTTTGTCGCCACGAGCGCTCGTCAAGCAACACGAGCCCCGCTGCCGCCGCCGCCGCCGCCGGGTAATCCCATCGCGTCCGAATGGGCCAGCGGCGACCCAACGCGCTTCGGATACGCGGAGGGCTTTGGTAAACACGGCGTCGTTTCACAGACGCTTTGTCGGTGGACTGTTAAAATATTTGGCCCGTCGGCGATGAAAAGAGACCATAAAAAGAGGCATACGAGAATTGTGGATAGGCGAGTGATTGGCGTGTAATGAAGTATGGATGATTACAGGCCAAAAAAATGAACGATGTACGAAATCGTGAGTGAACGTCTGCGGAAGATTTGCCAGTCTTCCCCTTTTTTGTGGTCATTTTTCACTTTGAATTACTAGCGGTAACACACTTGCGGATTCCTCGGTTGATTGATTGATTGATTGATTGATTTAGTGATTCCGTGCACGTCAACTACAAGGGTCATTAGTCCCGTAAGTGTAGTGCATTTTTCTCGGACGATGGCGGTGTTGTTTCCCTCGTTCTATGGCTAGATCCGGCGCCGACCTACCGTCGTCTAGCGAGGTTTTCCCCAACCAGGTATCTCCCAACGGGGGCGGGCAAACTCTTAGCTCCCGACATATGCGCTTGTGTAGTGCGTGTTAGTGTAAATGTGTGTGTGAGAGAATAGGACAAGCAAGAGGTAGGAAAGATCGCGCGCGGTTCATGGGCCGTTTATTAGGGTACTGCTCCGGCATTCGCCTGGAGTTGATCGTAGAAACCACGGAAAACTGACGATCAGAGCAGCCAGTCAGAATTCTCCTCCAGACAGCGACTGAATTTGACCTAGCTGACAAGGTAGTAACGAAAATCCTGCCACCGTCGAGACTCGAATATAGGACCTCTCGGTTAGAGGGACTGAAGTGACATCAGCAGATTCCTCGGATGTGGTATCATCTTCGAGCGGGGTCCTTGGATACAACACACACACACACACACACACACACACACACACACACACAACACACATACGAAGACATGGAGTAATGCTCGGGGCGAGATTCGAATTCGCACCCCAGCGCAAGAGGCGGAGGCAGAACACGTTCTCGGCCGTCTAGGGCATTCAGATCGGCCAGGTATTTTATAGGGCTTCATTTTGTACATCTTGGTGTCCGAAAAGTCTTCCCATAAACCCAACTTGTTGACCACTGACAGATTTTACAGCAAACTATATTGCCGTATTCAATACATCATATGCAGATCTAATGTTAATTATAGGCAGATGTGGAAAGTGTTGAAGTACATCTTATATCGGTTTCTGCAATGGCGTTTGGTGAAATTGTCCGTTCCTTAAAGTTTAGACTAGAACAACTGTGGCATGTGACACAACGGTGGATGCGGGTGCCCGCGGGGAACAGTAGAGCCCGCAGGCAGCATGTTAAGAGGATTTGGAAGGTCCTGATGCAGCTCTAGATGAGGGGGAGGATCCTCGCGCATAATGAAAATAGGAAATGACCAAATACCAAAAGAAGGCGGAATGCAATTCGTGTAGCTGACAGATCTCAACCCCATATCGTACCCGAACCCCCAAACCTTCCCTCCAATAGGTAGAAAAATAATGCAATTTCCGGAAGCCACAAAGAATTTTGTCACCGACAGAAGATTCAGTTGCTCCTCCAAAGAAGACGAAACGTTGGAAGAATAATTACAACTATTACAAGCAGAAAACATTTGCATCGCAACTCACCATTCTTGGAGAAAGCGTCTACACAAACACACATTGCATACGAGCCCAGAGCAGGCTGCTCTTCCCTCCGAGAGCATTACAAGGGCGCGCTGCAGAGGCCGGGCGCGAGGGCCGGGCGCCGAGAGGGCAGGGTGCTGGCGGGAACTGGAGCGTGACTGTGCGGCGAGGAAGGCGGGGCAACTGACCCGCAGCGGGGACGC